TTTAGATTGAATGGTAATTTATAATCAGTCACAAGAACGTCGAATCTGAATCACTTGAAAAAAACACGGGGGTGCTTAACTTTTTTCCAGGTGTATATAATTAACTCTGATAATACAAGAACTTTAACTGACCAACTTGAACAGTTGTATGTTTATGTGAAATATTAAGACAATATTCAAGAAAGATAATATATTTAATAAAAATATTTAAATACCTGAGGCAACAGAAACGTTAACAAGTGCTGCACCCGAGCAGGTGATTGAAAATTCAACATCAATATCAGTTTCTTTAGGAACATTCAGTAAGTTTATTCGATTATAGAACTTATCTTCACTCTTTGTCATGTCAAATGTGTACTTGAACCCAATATCAAGATTATCTGTAATGGTAAGAGATACATTTATAGGCATAACTGTTGATATTGTAATAATGTACACAAACCATTCCAACCATACAAAACTTCCAAGCCTTTTCCATACACATTATAAAGATTGAATGTTCTGGTAAGTGATAGCATGATGTACAATGGTATGTTTAGTTGTCTAACCCAAGTATCTTTCACAAATGTTACATATCAGATAGATTACATATATAACCTTAGTAGCAAATCTACAATACTGCTATATACATACATCAAAAACACCTTTAGCAAGTAACACCAGGTATAACTTCAAATTACTCTTCTTCTAATTAGAATACAGTGAATTCAAATTTCTTATTATAAACCAGATTACAACACTTATGATATACAACATTGTTTATTGACAAAAAGGGGACATGGATAAACATTTCTATCAGATTCCATCTTCAGTATCTAAAGCAGAATAAAATGAATTTACAGCAGCCTTTATACATTTTCAAAGTACAGTTGCTAAATATAACGATAATTAAACAAATAAAACACTAAACAGTAATCATGGGGAGAAACTGTAGTAAGAAAACACAACGGGAAAAAAAAAGAAGTAAAATCAGTAATACGAACATATTAAAAAATGTATAATTTAAATGAAGACTGCATGTTGTTCAGAG